TGAGTCATTTTCAGATATTCACATTTTATGTTCATATTTATATATGCAAATTTTACACATGTGATTATGTTTACTATAGTGCTGCATCCTGTTTTATATTGAAGTAGAGGAGAGGAGATTGAGAGAGTGATGTTGTATCTTGCTTCCGCCCTGTTCCGTTCTGCCAGGGAGAGATGTGGGTTGCGCTGACCCTTCCTCCTACAGGAGGGAGGCATGGCTGCACAGTGATGCCTTGGCACATGTCCAGTGTTAATGACCGCGCTCGCTTGATGGACTGAGCTGGGCTGCTGTTAAGTTTACTACACGGTGAGGGGAGCAGGCTATGCATGGAGCTGGTTTCAGGGGCCGCAGGCTATACATAAAATGGTTGTCAGGGGCCATAGGCTATACATAAAATGGGTGTCAGGGGCCAAAGGCTATACATAAAATGGGTGTCAGGGGCCGAAGGCTATACATAAAATGGGTGTCAGGGGCCGAAGGCTATACATAAAATGGGTGTCAGGGGCCGAAGGCTATACATAAAATGGGTGTCAGGGGCCGCAGGCTATGCATAAAATGGGTGTTGGGGGTCTGACAACCATCCCATGCTCAGCCTACGCACCTGACACCCATCCCATGCACAGCACAGCCTGCACACCTGAATCTTATCCCATGCACAGCCTGCACACCAGGCACCAATCCCATGCACAGCCTGTGCACCTGACGCCCTTTAACTTCTTCCCACCTGGCCTATTGTACAATGATGGCTGAGCAGAAACCCCTTTGGCGCAATCTGTCACTGGCTGTGTCCACGGGACATGGCCAATGACAGATCACTACACCTGCCCGCTCTCAGTGTCCATTTTGGTTTCGGTTTTCGGCCAAGTGCATCCTGAATTTTTGGTTTTGGCACCAGAATTTTCATTTCGGTGCACTCCTGTTATTCAGTGATTCCACTGAATCTTGCCTTGAAATTAATGTCTTACTATATGCTGCTAGTCTCCCTCAAATCCCCAAGTGTCAGTTGTGTTGTCTGCAAAGCGAGCTCAGAATGTGCATCTTTTAATTGTCCTAAAAAAAACTAACATCTACTTTTGCAAAATGCTTTTTATGATGAGTCTGCAAGTATTACAGTGAACTTAGTCCATCACAGTTGTTCTCAAAGCATTTTAAAATGTCGTTATCTCCTAACGATGATGGTATTCAGACACAGAACCATTTCCCACTAAAGAACAATATGCATTTTCCATTAGACACATTTGTCTTCAGCACCTAATAAACATCTCTCCGATGATCATTAGAATTTTTGTTTTGTCAGATCAGCACTAAATGTTCGATTGTTGTAAATGGAACCACTTAGGTTGTATTGATAGTAAAACTGGACAGAAACAGCATTAGGACCAATATACTTTACATAAAAGGCTGTAATAAAAATGACCCTACTTTTGGACACATTATTCAATGAGGGCCCTTGATTTTCACCATTTGATTGGAAGCCTGCCAGAGCTGGAGATAGCTCAGTCAGTGTGCAAGTAGTGTGCACTGATTGTGATCTTAGCACTTGACCTGAGACTGCTGTGGAGGAATATATGCAGCAGTTGGGCATTAAGGCCTACTTTTCCTGCTGTCACATACAGTATACTGTATGCTCTAATGTCCCCTATCTTGAATTGGATGTTGCATCTGCTGTACCAGTACACCTTTTGTAGGTCTATGGGACATAAGGGCACAGGCAGTCTGGCGCTAGATTTTTACCAGCCAAGATCTAGGCAGTGCAGGAAGCCACCACTGTTGGTGGTGGTAAGTAGGCACCTGTGGGTCATGCTTCTGCTTCAGCATATTTAGGGGCAAGGGAGTTGGGTTGGGGATTTTTTTATATCCTTACTGAATTTGTCTTTTTATTTTTTTCAGAGCTTGATGGATTGTGTTATTGTTTGAACTCAATAGATTTGTCCTTTTTTTTTTTTTTCTTTTTTTACCTGAACTATTTTAGATATGTAGCCCTAATTTTTTAGCAGCTGCAAGACACGGAGAATCGCATGAGAAAAATACACAGCAGCATGTTTCCCTAGTAAAACACACACACAGCACATTATGTAAAACCATACACAATACACAGTTAACCCTTTGATCGCCCCAGATGTTACCTTTTTTCCTGCCCAGTGTCATTTTTCTTTTTACTGATCACTGTATTAGTGTCATTGTCCAGTTCCCACCTAGTGTCCATGCTCATCGCAGTCCCGCCTTAGTCGCTTTCCCGGCCCCTAGTGTAACAAAGGAGAAGCCCCACACCCGCTATCAAAATGCTTTTTGATTCATGTCCTGCCCAATTAGTGCTTCCAACCCCCAATGCCCAGATGTCAGTGCTTTTTACTGATCACTGTATTAGTGTCATTGAGATGTCAGTGGTAGTTAGTCAGTTCCCACCTAGTGTCCGAATGCTCATCGCAGTCCCGCTATAAGTCGCTGATCACGGCCATTACTAGTACCCATCGCTCACAAATGAAATCCCAAGCTAAGAAAAAATAAAATAAAAATTGCTTAATTGATGAAGAAATAACAAAGGAGAAGCCCACAACCTGGCTATCAAAATGCTTTTGATTCAATTGTCCAATTACTTTTGGTCCCTTGAAAAAAGGGGGATGGCTACTCTTAAGAGCTGTAATTCCTAAACCCTTCCTCCAATTTGGATGTACATACCCTCAAATTAAACCTGAGAGTGTGCACTTTCAGCCTATATTCATTATATAACTATAGCTTTAATATTACCGCCATTTGTAGATGCTGAAGCTTTCACGTAAACCAATTAATTTACACGTATTGGGATTTAATTTAGCAAAGACATGTAGCAGAATACATTTTGGCCTAAATTTATGACTAAATTTTATTTTATTTTTTTTTACTGGATATGTTTTTATAGCAAAAAGTCAAAAATATTGGGTTTTTTTCACTAAATTGTCGTCATTTTTTTGTTTATAGCGCAAAAAATAAAAAACGTAAAGATGATCAAATACCACAGAAAGAAAGCTCTATTTGTGGGAAAGAAAAATACATAAATTTAATTTATGTACAGTGTTGCATGACCATGCAATTGTCAATTAAAGTAACATAGCGCTGTATTGCAGAAAAATGGCCTGGTCAGGAAGGGGGGTAAATCCTTACCAGGGCAAGTGATTAATTCGTAATCGTATTATTAAACAGAGGATTCTTACTGAGGATGGACTATGAATATTGTAGACTAATATCACAAGAGCTTCTCTTGGACAGGTAATGCAAACTATGGGTAATCATTGCAAAGTAATTGTTTATCTTTGGATGAGCATATTGTTCATCTTGTGGAGAGGTGAGGAGTCTTATTCTTGCTTTGGTTAACTGGAAATCTAGAAAAGTACAATGAAACAGCAGGTGGAAGGGCATTTAAATGCTGGTTACCAAGCAGCAATATCCTGCAGATAAAATACAAAATGTATGCGAGAAAATGTTTGAAAAAATGTAGAAATGCTCACAAAGTGCTGCTCTATAATAAGTCTTGTGTTTATATTAGTTGGCCAACACAGTACATATTGAAGCACTCAGATATGTGTGCCTACTGAATGTATGTGTATCTCTTGGTTGAAGAATTGCAGGTAGGCTTTTCATGTGCATCAAAAAACAGAATACAATAAAATCCTTTACAAATATACTATAAAAGTGTTAAAATTGCTTGAATAGACATCATTTACATAAATACAGTTTGATGTTCCCATCATGTCTCTACCATCTGTTGCTGAGTTGAGCCCAGGACTATGTACATTGACAGCCTAGAGGCTCCTTCACATCTGTGCTGTAAAAATTTCAGGTGAAGAAGACCAATGGATCTTTTACGTGTGGTAAATGTATTCTAAAGAGGATGTCTGTTTTTTGTACCCATGTAAAGTACATACAGACTGCTGCATGTTGGAGTTTGGTTATATTCTTGCAGAGTATACTGCATCCAGCCACATGGATTTGCACTAAACCATTGAACAAAATAGTCCAGTTCTTTATCATGCAGCACACCACTAATCTAAATCGCTGCTATGTGAATATGCCTTAAGGCAGCTTCACAGACAAAAACAAAAAGGGGAAGTGAGACTTTGTTTAAAAGAGGAATGTTTCTTATTTTAATGTAGCAGGTGGTTTACAAAAAGTAATAAGGCGTTTCTGGGGTGCTATGTCCCCTTTCTCACGAACATCAGCCATGAGTACTTAACTCTTAAAGTGCAACTAAAATTTCAGTTTAAATCAGTTAAATGTATTCAGAGTCTTACAGCTGTTTTTTTTTTTATGAAGCAGCCAGAGCTTATTTAGAAAAGCCTGTGCACTGCCAACATGCTGTAGAAAAAAGTCTGACATGCCCCATGCTGTTGAGATACAGTTTAAAGTTGATCTTCACTCTTCCAACTCCCTCTTCCCAACTGCATTTTTTTTTTCTTTAAGCCCTGCTTATGTTTTTGCCAGTCCTGCACAGTTAACCTCCCTAGCGGTCTGATTATGTCCATATTTCTGTGCTCAAAGTGGTAAATTTTTTTGCATGGAAATATGTATTTTTTTTTTTTATTGTAGGCCTGTAATATTTAGGAATAACTCACTGAAATCTGTCTGAACAAGAGTCTAGTAAACATCCTGGATATGATAAAACTTGAAACACGAAATTATAAATTATAATTTAATAAATAATCATAAAAAATAATATAATAATAAATGTAATTCAATAATATAATCAAACCAAAAACACTGAAATTTGAAATACAGAGGCAAATTCGCACATCGCTGAGCAAAGTCGCAAAATCGTTTTCAGTGTCTGATGACGAATTTCCCCACGAATCATTATCACTCAATTCTGCAAGTAGTTCTGATTTACTATCTCTGTTCTCTAGCTGGTCTAAAACCGCTTTTGACCTAAAGGGACGCTTTTTAGACGCCATGGACATTTCTCAGTTTCCAGGCAGAAAGAGCAGTAAAAATGCAGGCAGGGCACAGGACAAAGCACTAGAGACAAAATGTATGTGAAATGGTTTGATACAGTAATGTTTTACTGTGTGATTTTAGTGAATGTCACTTTTTGTCATTTTCAAATTTCCTGCTGTTCCATCCCCCCGTACGTCCCGACGCTCGCAGGGGACGGAACCCAGATGACAGATGCCGGCATCTGCTGGATTACATTGCCGGGAACACTGCAGGAGGGACATCGCGGGAGCGCAGGACAAGGTAAGTGATCGAGGGATCGCGGAGAAGCGCCGCATGGTAAGCCCGAGTGTAGCTCGGGGTTACCGCTTGTGGTACTGAAACTTTACCCCGAGCTACACTCGGGAATACCGCCAGGGAGTTTAAGGCACTCACCCGATCCAGCATTGTCCTACTGAGATTCATGTATTTTCTGCCCCTGCTCAGTCTTCTATGGTGACATCATTGGGAAGCTGCTGGCTCTTCTTGGTTCTGCCGGCGGCTCTCCCATGGGACTCGCCACCTAGACCTGCCTTCCTCTTCTCCTCTCCCATTGAAGGACTACACCTAGACAAGTAACGGGGAAGGTGGGCTGGGGGGTCAGAGCTTTAAAGGGATACTAAATGTTCACATTTTTTGTTACAAAAATTTTATGCTCTAGGGGCACTTGTGACTGCTCGCTCCCGAGCCACATCTGTGTATCTATAAGACAGAGCACAGTTTGGTCCCGCTCCCTCCTCACTGGCTGTGTTTGACAGCAACAGGAGCTAGTGACTCCCTGCTGCTGTGTCTCAGCCAATGAGGATGGAGAGACCTGTGAGAGCCACTGCTCTCGTGCACATCGAGAGACTGGGTTTAGGTAAGTATTGGGGGGTGGGCTACACACTGACGGGTTTTTTCCTTCATGCATAGCCACTTTAATATTAAAACAAAAAACATAAATAGAAAAAAAAAAAAAAAAGGAAAGCTCAACTTGTGCAGTGGAGGGAAGAAGGGATGGATGGGAGGCAACTTTTTATGGAGGGTGAAGGACGACTTTAAAAGGGTTTAGGTAAGTATTTGGGGGTGGGCTACACACTGACGGGTTTTTTCCTTCATGCATAACCACTTTAATATTAAAACAAAAAACATAAATAGAAAAAAAAAAAAAAAAAGGAAAGCTCAACTTGTGCAGTGGAGGGAAGAAGGGATGGATGGGAGGCAACTTTTTATGGAGGGTGAAGGACACTTTAAAAGGGAGCATGAGCTTTGCTGATTACAGAGCTATAGGTCTGACTCAGCAGGGGGCATTTCATGCTGCGGCTGAGAACATTGCTTCCACACAGAGTGCAAGGATCCTTCATATGCTGATATAGGTCCATCACCATTTTAACTCCTTTTACATTTTCTGATAAGTCAAACTAAGGCCATGTGTGTCAGCAAAGTTGGGCCATGACAGTTATCACCGGCATTCAGCTGTGCTTGTTTATTAAACATGAGAACACGAAGTTGAAAGCATGGTAAATGAACACATTTCTGCTGCTGTAGTTCCCTATTATTCCCTGTGGCCTTATAAAGGCTTTTAAATCACATAAGGCAGTTTATTGCAGTGCGTTTGGATTTTTGTCTACATGCACTAATTGTTTTCAGGAGTCACTTGGGGTAGCTGTTATCAAAACACTGAAAGCTTCTTTCAGCTACCTTTCTGTGCTGGTGATCTCATCTGTTTAATGCAGCTGTGTGAGAAGATTGGTAAAAAAAAGTCATTTGTTTGCCATTGTTTGTTGCGCCATTCATGTCATTACGCTTTGCCTCTTTGCCTTAATCTCATTCTTTATTTTTCTGGGTTTTTTGTTTTGTTTTGTATTTTGTGACGGCAAATGTAATAGGTTGCTATCTACAGGCTGAGGTGCAAAATATAAGCTGGGCACAGACTTTAAAAGACTAAGGAATGCTGCAGAGCATTCTACCAGCTTGTTGGCTCAGCTTTGCCATGCTGCCACATTTACCACCATGAACAGGCAATAGGGCTGGGATACAGTGAAGGATAGGTTTATCAGCAGGGGAGCATGGATGATAAGGGAAGGTCTAGACCAGTTCCTCTACGCTGACATTGGCCTGAAGGTGTGCATAGCCCAAAAATCGTCTCCTGATATAAACATGCTAGATACCCTTAAAATCAGAAAATTAGACTAAGTGTACTTTTACCAAACAAAAAAACTTGTTCCACCTCTTCACCCTCCTTGTAAAAATTGCCTTTACTACCAGATAATTCATTGCAGATATTGGCATATTCCTATTACCACAGCCTGTCCAAGACTGGGTAGTTTTTTACCGCCTGGGACATTTCAGTGGTGTTTCTGGCCTTTTTAAATGCATTGGGATCAGCATTGGAAATCAGAGGCCCTAATTTTCCTCTGTACATTAATGTTGTGTGACATGCTGAGAATGCGGGATGTCTGCATATGATTTATGCAATACCATTTTCAATTTAGAAGGTCAAGGGATGCTGGTGTCTATCATCTGCTTTCCCTCGGACTTCTCTGGTGATCACATTATTAATGAGTGGTATTTCTCGAACAGGCACACAAGCAGCAGAACTGTAAAGGTTCTAATGCTTCTCCACTGTACTTAAAGCTTACGTTTACTTATTTTCTTTATCAGCACAGGGGACAGTACTTATAGTGCCTTGAAAAAGTATTCATACCCCTTGAAATTTTCAACATTTTGTCATGTTACAACCAAAAAACGTAAATGTATTTGGGATTTTGTGTGATAGACCAACACAAAGTGGCACATAATTTTGAAGTGGAAGGAAAACAATAAATGGTTTTCAAAATGTTTTACAAATATGTGAAAAGTGTGGCATGCATTTGTATTCAACCCCCTTTACTCTGATACCCCTAACTAAAATGTAGTGGAACCAATTGCCTTCAGAAGTCATCTAATGAGTAAATAGAGTCCACCTGAGTATAATTTAATCTCAGTATAAATACAGCTGTTCTTTGAAGCCCTCAGAGGTTTGTTAGTGAACAAACAGAATCATGAAGGCCAAGGAACACACCAGGCAGGTCAGGGATAAAATTGTGGAGAAGTTTAAAGCAGGGTTAGGTTATAAAAAAAAAATATCCCAAGCTTTGAACATCCTATGGAGCACTGTTCAATCCATCATCCGAAAATGGAAAGAGTATGACACAACTGTAAACCTACCAAGACATGGCCGTTCACCTAAACTGACAGGCTGGGCAAGGAGAGAATTAATCAGAGAAGCAGCCAAGAGGCCCATGGTAGCCCTGGAGGAGCTGCAGAGATCCACAGCTCAGGTGGGAGAATCTGTCCACATGACAACTATTAGTCATGCACTCCACAAATCTGGCATTTGTGGAAAAGTGTCAAGAAGAAAGCCATTGTTGAAAGAAAGCCAAAGGAAGTGCAGTTTGAAAAAAGCCATGTAGGGGACACAGAAAACGTGGAAAAAGGTGCTCTGGTCAGATGAGACCAAAATTGAACTTTTTTGGCATAAAAGCAAAACGCTATGTGTGGTGGAAAATTAACACTGCACATCACCCTGAACACCATCCCCACCGTGAAACATGGTGGTGGCAGCTTTCATTCAGCAGGGACAGAAACGATTGTCAGAGTTCATGGAAGATGTATGGAGCCAAATACAGGTTTTCTAAGAGTCTTGAGTCAAAAGACTTGAGATGGGGCGGAGGTTCACCTTCCAGCAGGACAACGACCTTAAACATATAGCCAGAGCTACATTGGAATGGTTTAGATCAAAAGCATATTCATGTGTTAGAATGGCCCAGTCAAAGTCCAGACCTAAATCCAATTGAGAATCTGTGGCAAGACTTGAAAATTGCTGTTCACAGATGCTTTCCATCCAATCTGACAGATTTTGAGCTATTTTGCAAAGAAGAATGGGCAAAAATACCCAAAAAGACTTGCAGCTGTAATTGCAGCAAAAGGTGGTTCTACAAACTGTTGACTCAGGGGGGCTGAATACAAATGCACACCACACTTTTCACATATTTATTTGTAACAAATTGTGAAAACCATTTATCATTTTCCTTGCACTTCACAATTATGTGCCACTTTGTGTTAGTCTATCACATAGAATCCCAATAAAATACATTTAAGCTTTTAGTTGTAACGTGGAAAATATCAAGGGGTATGAATACCTTTTCAATGTACTGTATATATAATTTTTTTTTGCTTGGCCATTTGTGTCTATTGGAGAAATTCTACTCTTCTCAATGGGGACAAAGGCAAATCATGGAAACCCTCAAAGCCTTCCTCACACTATTTTAAACTTTCTACAACAATTTTGAGTAGAGAACTATGTGAACAGGCTTTTAGCCTGTTCTAATACCTTCAAGCAGTGCTAGTTTCCTAAATGTCCTATTGATGCAGTGCATTCTGAGTCATTGACCTGCATTTCATTCTAAAAATACTTGCTGATTTTTTCCAGATCACTTCAAAATATTATGATTCCAAAGACAGCCAGGCAACTAGCATTTTCACAAAAACATTAGCAAAAGCAGCCTACATATTTTTCTTAGTAAATGCTTTCTTTTATGTTTTTTCATTACTTCCGTACTGGTGCTGAATGGTGCCTCAGGAAAGCTACTCAGTTTGTTCAATTCTTTTCTAATACTTGCTGAATCTTATGCTCTTCAGATTAGCATTTATAGGCTACAATTGACAAATGTCCATGCTTTGAAGGGGTTAAAATGATTGTCTTAATAAAATTAGGTTTGTTTAACTGTATCTTTTTTATTTTTGTGATAAAAGACCAATAAAGCTTAGATACCCAGGTCAAATTTAGCAGTTTCGGTATGTCTTTTGATTTGTGTACGTAAATAATTTTTACAATTTTATTTTAAGGACTTGTATATTTTTTGCAACTGAGCTTCCTTCCTGAATATGATAATGATGTCATAGAGTGCATAATGATTATGTGGTCTTGCAGATCCGACAGAAAGCAACATACGCACAGTCGATGGCTAGCTTTCAAAAGGGGGGGGGTGGGGGTTGTAGATTGAGTAGATACTTTAGGGGAACTTTATTCTACAAACTGCAGAGAAGAAGGGGTTAAAGGAAAACCATAATAGTTTGGTGTACCTTATATTTTATGTTTTATTAAAAGAGACATACAGCCAAAGCTTGTTTGGCTTTACTTCTCCTGTGGATCACAGGAGTGCAGTTCGCACTGCATTCAGCCGGTCCAGGCTGGGGAAAGTCGGGATCCACTCAGATTTCTGAGCCAGCACCTAGCTCAGCCTCTCTCCTTTGAGAGCCTGAGCCAGATGCTCTATCCCCCTCTTCAGTAGTTTTTGATCGCTCAGTTCTTAGTCTTAGAGCCGACGGGGGGGGACCGATGTTGCATCCACCTAGGTAAGTATA